TCAGCATTTTAACTGTTGGTTGGTTGGCACTTTTAAAAACACTTAAAGTCCACTTTCATAGCTTCAACTGGTGCAAAGTATAATCCAATTAAGTGAAACTATGGAATTTGGATATTTTCTGCGGAATTTCTGATTCACTGTTAGGTAACTACGGAAGGCACACCTGAAGTATTATGGAAATTTTAGAGATATAAACGGTGAATATCGTGACTGGAAGGAGGATGGACGGCTTAAAATAGTCTACGTATTTTAATATATGCAGTTGGTTTAGCGTCGCTAATCGAATTTTGATAATCCAATGAAAACACCCAAAAGTGGCATTTAGAACTCGCGCATAGACAAGCCTGTATTTACTGCGATTTGGTCCCTGAGGTGTAAACACAAACATCAGGATCGGTGCGAAATTGAGTGGAAATCATCAGTAGAGTGCCCCATTTCGTCATGTAGAAAGGAATGTGCTGATTGCTTGAGGAAGATGAAGGATGGAGGAAAGAGACGAAGAGGGAAAAATCTGTTTGTCCTAAGCGTAACAGAAACAATATTTATGCTGCACAACCAGAAATATTTTTTGCCATGAAACCAGAGAGGGAACATTCTGAGAAGCGAAAGAAGCAAATCTACCTGGGGAACATGCCATCGCTCACCGTTGGCCGCATACAAGTTACAGGAGTCGCTACTCGAGACGAGCTTTTAGCGGTCATTAATGAGGTGTTGGTTGCAGGTTTTGGAGATTATCGCCCAGCGCCACAAAATATGCTAGTAGTGCTGTGTGTGATCATGGGCGGCATCATCCTGACGACGATGTGCATGGATGTGGTTGGGCGCATGTATCTCAAGGAAATTCACTATATCGGCCGCAAAATACAAACAAACAATCCATTTTTTCTCATTCGCGAAGCAAAAGCAAGGTCTGATGCTTATTCTCTGCCACTCAAAAAGCTATTTCTGAATGACCTCAAAAGACAGCTACAGGACCAAGCAGTTTTCGAAGTGCGAATCTTACTTGTAAATATCATAGAGAAACGAAAGGAGCATTTAGGCGGCGACGACAAGCGACGGCAAGTGTGCTACTAGAACTGGCTAAAGGAATGATTTTCGCGCACCACAGGAATTATGAGGCTGCTCTGGCTGGCTCGAAACGACGAATGAGCAAAAAAGATCGAAAACGCGAATCCCATTTATGTAAGCGCTTCTGGACAGATTACCCATATCTCTTTCTTCCTGGAGGCTAAAGGGGGAGCGGGATAGGGGGAGGAAAACGAAGGGGAAGGGAAGAGCAAGATGCCGAAAAAATGGGAATAAAATTAATTTTCCTGATTTTTTAAGGAATTCTTTTAAAGCACATTATTTGGGCTCTATTCTCCTCCTTCTTCTTTAGTGCCGGACGGGAAGTTTATGTTCGCTCGTTTGCCGCCCGATCCACCACGTGAGT